GTACCGTACCTGGGCTGCCTCACTGGCAGCGGGGCTACCGTGGCATCGCCACGTAATTCCTAGGGCAAAAATAGGAGACGAAACGGTAATTTACATGTGCCACAACTACATTAAAATTCCTACACAAAATTCCTAGTCATGTTCGGACAGTCTGGTAGTACCGTATGGAATTACAGACTCACGCGGAGCAATTATCACTACGATGACTGCTATTCCTGATGTAATTTTCTCCTACGCTAACCAGTGCTGAAAATCACCGCAGGTACGGTCTCGTTTTCAGAGCTTATTCCACTCCAGACAGCAATCCGTCCGTCCGCACCGATCCAAGGATCGAACACGTGACCTCCACGTTAAGAGGCAAACACTCAACCAAACGGCTAAGTGGACTGGGGTGAAAGTTAAGCCCCAAGATGAGTACTTAACCCCACCCCAGCACGGGTACTCGTTTTTCCCCGCGACCCGGTGTACCCAGTCACACACGCGCACCCAACCAGGGTGTGTAGATGTAGCCACCATACAGTGTACGACCTCACTGTTGGTTGCCACGCAGGTAAGAAGTGAAGAAGAAGAATAGTGGAAACAGTGGTCAACTGCCTTTCGTACACGCTTCGAAAACACTTCATTTCAAAGCCGCGCATACTCATCTCAGCTCACGCGCACGTTCCCCGATGCTTTTCGATCGGTTGCGCTCCGATCATCCTCAGGGGGCTTCCACATAACCCTGCCTTGCGGCCCACCGACAATCCTAGAAAAAAGAGAATGGAGAAAAAGAAGAAGGGGAAGAAGAATAGTGGAAACAGTGGCTAACTGCCTTTCGTACACGCTTCGAATGCTCGGTTGCACTCCGATCATCCTCAGGGGGCGGCCCACCGAACAGACCTTCCTTCTGAGAACTGAGGGTGGATCAGGCCTTGCCCTCCTATGTACTGAATGCCAAGTAGGACGCTTCGTCAGCACGGCACTTCCGGCCCTAACGGGCACTTCCACGAGCTACTACGGCTACAGCTGGACTGCCACCTAAACGTTGCGATGAGCGCTGTAGTGTCCGTTACTGAAAAACCGGCGCGACGTCTGAGCCTGCAGGCCAGCTTTCCCCGTATGTTCACGTGTCGGGGTACCATGTAGTGACTAACGTCTCTCTCCAACCATCAAGTCTCTCCTTCAATCTTCCTTTCACTAATAGATGAGCTCCCATTGGTCCACACGTTTCTCCCCTCTAACTCCTAATTGGGCTAATCCGTGCGTCGCGGATCCCCACCTACTAACCTGGTACGTGGCACTCTGGTCCAGTCAGTTACACGTGTGTACGCGCATGACTGTACTTTCAAAATCCGACACACCGTGACCTGTACAAGTTCAAAATCCGAGACCCGTATTTCCCGCTGTTTCGGATGTGCGGGTAAGCCGGTAGTACTGTACCTGGGCTGCCTCTCTGGCAGCGGGGCTACCGTGGCATCGCCACGTAATTCCTAGGGCAAAAACGAAGTAGGAAAACGAAAACGAAAATAATTTACATGTGCCCTTAAATAAAATAAAATTCCTACATAAAAATCCGAGACGTGCCTGGGCTGTCCGGTAGTACCGTACCTAAACTACCTTCCTGGCAGCGGGCTACCGTGGCTATACCACGTAATTCCTAGGGTAAAAACGAAATGGAATTACAGACTCACGCGGAGCACCTACTACTACGATGACTGCTAATTCCTGATGCAATTTTCACCCTACGCTAATTAGTGCTGAAAATTTACTGCAGGTACGGTCCCATTCTCAGGGCCAATTTCCCTTCCCGGGCTTCTGTCGCGCGCTGTCTTTCCACAGTACCAGGTTCTCGAGCAGCCTAATCCAGGGCTCTCTGAGAACGCTGGTGCCCTTAGCAAAGCGTGCTTGGGCTTTGAAGAAGAACGCCGGGGGGTAGCCCCGGCGGAGGAGCTCGTACTTAAGCGCCAGAACCGGCAGGACCAGCGTGCTTTCGCTGTTCGCCATCTGCTGAATGCGGTGAAGACAGCCTATTATAGCATCCATCTTTGCCCGCTTGTCGGAGTAGGAATTGAAGTCTTGAAAACAACTATGTACCAGTTTCTGTTGCACTTCACCCATCCAGACCTCCAGTCCGTTCTTGATCTTTGGCTCAAGCAGGAACATGGTCCTCCCAGGTACAGTCGTAAGCTTTGATCCCACAAAGTCAATGGTGTTTGAACCGTCGTCCGTGCGGACCAGTGATAGCTTCTCT